TGGTATCCTAACTGGGATTTCAAGAACAGAGAAGGAGTGGGGGACTTCTGAGTAATTCAGGATGAATGTGAAGTTCTCTCCTGGTTTCAATGTGGACAGGATATGTCAGCACTTCAACTTCTTTCCACTAGGGGGAGCTATCCCCACCTCATGGCTACCAGTGATCTCTTCATGGAGCCCTGGGAGGTGGCCTTTGGGGGGAAGGTCTCCCACCTGTTCTGAACCATGCTCATGGCCATCCAGTCCACGGGGTACACATTCTTCCCGATGAGGTCCTTGAACATGATGAAGGTCTCCATCAAGAAGTCCTGAAAGAGTGGAGAAAACACGCCAGTCATGGGCCTTGCAGGTAGAAAGTGACTTCAAGTGCCCAGGTGCCGTGGGCTGTTACAATGTTTCCTTTATTATTATTTTTTTTTATAGAGAGACAGAAAGGTAAGGGGATCAATTCTTCATTGAAGCTAATTCAGGGAAATTCATCCCCATGCATTGTAAATAGAAGCATAAAAGTTGGCTTCTGAGAGGCTCTTTCGCAAATAAGTAGAACATGAATATGGAATAAGGAGATAATCTCAAAATAAAGCACTATTAATTCTGTCTTTGAGAATAAAGAAGTAAATGTATTCATCGATGTGGCAATTTTATAATCATCTTCCCAAATATGTATTTGAGCAGAAAATAATCGACACCATATGAACACATCTCAGGCCATTTAGCAAATAAACTATTATTTAAATGAGCATCTAATTAGCAGTGGTGTAAACACAGCTATTTCATCTGTCTCTCTCTCTCACACACACACACACACACACACACACACACACACACACACACACGAGCAGATTAGAGGGAGCATAGGAACCAGGACTCTCCTTCCCTCCTTTGGAGAGGTTCAAAGTGACTTCAACACACTCCCTCAGATTTTGCAGTGGGACAAACTTGGCCTCCATCTTTGCAGAAAGCAAATTCAGTACAAATCCAGATAGCAAAGACCCAGAACCTGTGACCTTCTTGAGCTGGAAGTAATAAAAACCATATCACTTGAATGCTTTAGGTGAAGCCTAAAATCCAGAGGGAGTCCCTTCAGAATTCTTTCCATAAGCAGTGGTTTTTAAATCATCCTGACTGCAGAATTCTTTGTTCAAAGGAAATATCACCTGGAACCTAATATTTGAAATAGATAAAAGTAGATGGGCTCTGTGTGTGTGTGTGTGTGTGTGTGTGTGTGTGTGTGTGTGTGTGTGTGAGACACACAGAGAGAGAGAGAGAGAGAGAGAGAGAGAGAGAGAGAGAGAGAGCAGAGTGCAGCTAGAAAGAACATAATTTGAAAATCAGTGCTTTAAGATAAATTGCCAAATTCTGGAGATGGCATTGGTTCTTTCCCAGCAGTCTCTGCTTCTAGGAAAAATGACCTCAGTGTTCTAAGTCCCAGCTTCCACATCAGCAGAACGGGGGCAGCATCTATCCCCAAGGGTCAGCACGGTGACTAGGTGCACCTGGGAGCTTAGCACAGAGACTTGGCGCCAAGAGCTCCTTAATGCTGGAGATGTTAATGGCGGGGATTGTTATTCACCCTTGATGTCACCAGGGCAAGTGTGGCTCTCGTCCCAGGCACACCCCCTTCCTAAGGGATGGAGAAGGCTTCTGGCTCACAGATGGACCAAGTGGCTTCTGACTGAGAAGATGCATGTAGTGTGAGGGGCAGAGCTGAGGTTCAAGGTGGACCTCGGGCATGTTGGTCCTGTACTGCAAGTGGAGCCTTTGTCAAGAAGACTGTAGAGCTGAAACAGGTGACTCCTAACACTCATGTCATACTGCTAGGAGAATCAGATAAGAAAGTGCATACGTTCAACAAGTAAGAATTCCCTTCTCCACCTTCCTTCCTGGGAATCGTTATCAAAAATTAGGAATCTGGTTTTCCTATTTCCATGTCCCAAGACATAAAGAACTTGGTGGGGGTGGGAGAAAAACTGGGGTTATTCTTTTTATTTGTCTTTTGAGTATCCAGAAAAGGGTTCCATTTCTTTCCAACTCTACTACAAAGAGGAGAGCTTTGGCTCACTGCTGGGGGTGGGGGTGTTGGCTCCCAGTCATTCCCTGAGGAGGGGCCACTCTCTGAGGGTGGTCCAGGCTCAGCACCCTTGGTCTTCCCAGGAGAATTAAGAGAGCTCCTAGCAGCAGGACTCCTGCCCCTGGAAGTGGTGAGTGACAAAGGGCCACACTGACAGGAAAGGGTCCTCTGCTACACCCTGGGTCAGGGCAGTGGGTGGGTCTCTCTGTTGTATCTGCTGCAGAGCCCCATGGCCATGGGGCATGGGGTGGTGGTCCTGTAGCAGCTGAGTCCTGAGAGGCTAAAAGAAGCTCAGGGATGGGGATGTAGCTCAGCGGTAGAGCACTTGAGGAGCATCCGCTAGGCCCTAGCTTCCATCCTCAGCACAGAAAAGAAAGAAAAAAGAGACCTGGGCTCAGGGCAATTTCTTCTATGCGCTATCATAACCTAATACTAGCTATCTCTCCTGTGTACTCACAATGTGAGCAACACAGTGCTCCCACCCAAGCCCCTCAGCATACCCTGAAACCCAATCAAATTATCCCCACTTTACAGATGGGGAAACTGAGGCTTATGAGAGGTTCTCTTGCCCCTGGTCACACAGCTAGCTGGTGACAAAGCCAGGATTGAAATCCAAGACTGCATGACTCCAACTCTTGCTCTTAGGCTGCAAGCATCCAAGATTCACCAGCACCTATTTATTGAGCCACATCTAGATCCCATGGTAGATGTCCGTGACTCAAGTCTGATATGATTGAAGACATGTTCCAGAGTGAGAAATTCAAGAGACAGAAAATCAGACATGCTCATAAACACGCCTAAGACCTGTGGGGACGTCTTTGGGTCCTAAACTCATGAGAACCATGAGAGCCAGGTGTCACGTCCTGCCCACCCGCCCTCCATCCCCAGCGTCTCTCAGACTCACCACAAGATCTGAGCTGGTGTGGAAGGTCTCGATGTAGAAGGAGTAGTGTTGGTCACCCATCTGGTTTAGGATGGCCGTCATACATGCCACGAAGTGACTCTGCAAGACATAAAGAAAAATACCACGGACAAGTGAGAAAGGACCATGGGATTCATCTCTCCCATTTCCTTGACTCTAACCTGGAAAATGCTCAACCTTGCCCAGCAAATGTCACAGAGCCGTCCAAGGACAGGGACTCTCTCCGCACTGGATGAGTGTGTGAAACTTGCCTAGGGGTAAATGTCTCCTTACAGCGCCTTCATGGAATCAGCCTTCACTGAGCACCTACGATGCCCCTGCAGCAAGCACCACAGGTATGAAAAGAAGAGCCGACACGGGACCTCTCCTGCTGCTTGTACTTTGGGAAAAGAGCAGTGGTGGGTGTTGGGAGATTCAGCCGAGGTGGGGCTCCTGGAGTCGGTTTCACTTTCTGTTAAATAATTTTACATGGGAAATCCCAGTTATCTCATCTGTAAAGTGGGGCAATCATCCATCCATCCACCCATCCATCCATCCATCCATCCATATCTCCCATTAGAGAATTATCAAAAGGATCTGATAATCAAAGCAAGTTATTTATTTGTATGTACCAAGGTGCCACAAGGAAACCTGTTCTTCTGTAGAATTGACATGCGCTAATAAGCAAAAAAGGATCCACTGGATCTGAGACCACCCTGAAATCCCATTAAGGTTCCCTGTGGAGGGACCAGTTATTGGATCATTATGAAGGAGCCAGAGAAGTCGGCAACCTAGGGTGGGATGAGAAACGAAGGGATGGAGCCTGCTGTCCAAGAGTTGATGGTCTCATTGGGAAATCATGACTGAATCCAGGAGAGAAAAAGTTCAAGATCCCGAAGGATTCAGACAAGAGGGAAACCAAGGCGGAGAGCTGGAGAGGTCTGGAAGGATCCCTGGGAGCAGAGAGGCAGGGAATACACCCTTTCACGCACCATAGACCTCAGCTTGGTCTCTCTTGCCATCTCTCTCCCAGACTGGCAGGGTCAGCTTTAGGGTGTGTCTTCCACTCATGCTAATATCTACAGGCAACAGGAGGGAGACCTGGTCAAGGAAGCACTGGCCACTGAGCCAGCAGCCACGAGAAGCTACTCTGTACCACCCCTAGACGATCCCCGGGGGGCTGCCATCTTGGCCAGAGGTGGGTCCGCGGTGGTCCAGCCCAGTGCAGACAATTGGAGATGGACTGGCACTGTCATGCCGGTGTCTCTAGGGACCCCCACTCCAAGAGTCCTTAGAAGTTTTATGTTTGGAGGCTGTAGGCTTGGAAATTTTATGTTTGAACCCAAAACTGGGGCTGGCATCACACACTGCTAACCTTTGTTTATATAAAAAGAAGTTCTTTTGTTAAAAAATATAGCAAACATTAATACCTGCCGATGGTTGACAATTTTGTTCCCGTGGTGGGGCAGCATCCTTGGTGACCCCCGGAGACCCCTTTTGCATTCCTCCTCAGGAACCCTTTAGGGTGATTAAATGTCTTTGAGGCTCCTGTTCACCAAAGTGGCTCCCAAAGATACAGATTGTCCTTTGCTTCTGGGTTCTTTTCAGTTGAGATCGACTGCTTCCCCTGCCGGCAGGACCAGCTAGGCAATTTGTGGGGCTCAGAACAAAATAAAAATGTGGGGCCCTTGTTTAAAATGATTGAGGCTTTCAAAATAGCCCTGTGGCCTTTCTAAGCAAGGGACTCAGTATGATTAAGCGGGTCACTCACACAGGAAGCTAGCCCAGCTGGCCGGTGACCCCCACCTTAACCGTAAATGCTTAGGAAACATACAGATCTGGCAGAGAGCCCGACACCGGGGACTCTCAGGAACAGTCACCAGTCTGCTCCATGGAGGGGACTGGCAGCGTCTACACGGGGCCACACCCCCTGCATGATCTGCAGCCAGTTCCTCTCTCCTGCTCAGGCAACAGCGGGTGGTGAGTTTTGAAATTATTCACCCTTTCAACCCAGACTGAACAGCCCCAGCACTGCCAACTTCACCAGGTCCATTAAGTCAAGAAATGAACTTACTTCCTGTGTATACCTCTGGCCAGCTGGATGTAAACAAAATCCTAGGGCTTAAAGGGTGTACAAGTGTGTGCGCGTGTGTGTATGCGCACCACGATCCCCTGCCTCCTCTACTCCCTCCATCTCCTCTCCCTTCCTGGAAGAATTCCGCCTGTGGCCACTAGAGGGCCGTTCTCTTCACACAGTCGCTGCTGTGCAGTTTGTTCGGCTTATTTATTCCTACGTGAGCAGACCCACTACACTTCTTGCATATAAACAGTGAAAATTACAATATAAAGACTTATTTTTTTCCTTCTTTCGGAGTTATTCTGCTGCTGGTCAAAGCCTGGCTTGTTGTGCAAGGAAGGGGGGACATCTCCGGCAGGTAATCCCACTGCTTCAAGGTAAGAGATGTGGGAAGGTTTTATTTGTGTGTGTGATGGATGATCTTCTAAGAGAAAACGCTGTTCGCCTCTTGGACGATAGTTTACTTCTAAAGCTTTGGCTTAACGGAGCGCTGGGATTGTGAGCTTGCATGGGTGTATGTGTGTGGGGGGTAGGGGTGAAAAGCCCACCATTGTCACAACTGCTGGCTGCCCCAGATGCATAGGTATGGAATGCTTGTTATTGTCAATGGCTCGATTGGAAAGGGGGGAAATGCAAAAATTCAGATCTGGGAGCTAACTTTGCTTGGAATTACCTTGGAAAAGCTGCCTTGTCTGAAGCCCTGTTTAAGGAAACTTCTATGCTTCCTTGAAAAAGGAAAAAAAAATCAAGGAGCAGGATTGCAGTTCCTATTAGAGAGAGTGACCATTTCATGAAAGAAACCATTATCATTTTATTAGGAATGGGTTAGTGTGGTAGAGATTGTGGATCGCTCGAAATTACTTTTACCAGCTTGTTAATTTCTTTGTTCCAACTGCCACACAGAAAACCCCAGCTGGGTGCCTTTTCCTTTCCGTAGGATTAGTGGTGTGATGTGACTGAAGTTTGCACAAGTTACCTGCATTTGGCTGTTAGTGAAAAATGACAGTGTGTGACTTCCAACTGCAGGCATCTCATTTTCCTACTGTAGTACCTAGCCCACTGTGGTATCAGACCCCTCAGAAATCATACCAACACCACTGATTGATACCCGAAATGGAGCAAGACACGGGTAGCAGGTTTCTGCTCAGGAAAGGCTCTGCTCTGCCATTTGAATTTTCAAAAACCACTTTGTCACAATGATAGAAGGATGGAACAACATTATGCTTCTCTGACATGTATCCCCTTTCCAGGTGTATCCTCAAAATGGCAACTCTGTCTTGCCCTTCTCCCCTCTTACAAGTTTGGGACCCTGCTTCTACATCACCATGACTGAAAATTTTAGAAGGAATTAGATCAGACTGCATCTGCCCTAGCAGTTGAGACAGCCCTAACATTGACATTGCTCAAACTTTATAGCAAAGGAGCTCGAACTCCAAGCCCATCAGCAACCCAAAAGAGCAGTATAATGCTGTGTGGGGGCTGCGGGGTGGGGGATCCCTGGTAGTCCAGGCTAGCAAGAATCTCCCTCTTCTCATCCCTGGCAGAGATTCTGAAATGGACACATATTTACTACCAAGGCACGAGGCAGCCACTCATCCATCCCAAGCAGCATGCCAGGTGCCTGGATAGGAAATTGCTTCTTAAAACGGAATACCAGTGGGACTTGCATATTAAATTCCAGAGAGAAATTGAATCTGAGACTCTGGGGCAAACCAAGCAGAGTCACCTGGCTCCGATCGGGGTTGGTTTAAAATGTGGCTAATGAATCACAGCATGAAGAGACACGGTTTGAAACTAGGTCAAACGTGTAAAAATAAGTACAGTCATCACGGGCACTTGGCTGATGAGGGCTCTTTGACGCGGCAAGCGGCGGGGTTTATCTGCCGTGTAGGACCCTCTTCTGCATGCCGAAGTGATCAATTCTCGTAATTAATTCAGCTCATCAGTCAATACGTGGGGAGGTCTTGCGCACCTGGGAGAGAGCTGGACCTCCGAGGGAAACGGTGGGGGTCTCTTCACTACGTGGAGGCAAAAGAGAAGAGAAACCTCACACCATGTGGCCCAAAATAATTAGCTCAGATACTGAGTGATTTCCATGTGGAGAGTAGCCCTCCACAAACCCCGGCATTCACTTCTTTGCAAGAAAAAATTGTCCTGATCATCATATTAATAATGCCAATAGTTCAACATTCAACTTCAACATATCTATTTAACATCCTCTAATACAAATGCAAACACACACACACACACACACACACACACACACACACACACACACACACACACAGGACTCCTGCAGTACTCAGTGCAGAGAGAAGCAAGGAAGACTCTATAGGATTTGCTCTACCTTGGAAAATAAGCCAAACAGGGGAGAGGGGCCCCAGGGGCTGAGGAGGCACCCCACACACCTGAGGTTAGTGGGAGTGAGGAGATCACAGAGGGAGGGAAAGAGCAACTCCGGGAGCTTGCTACCCAAATGCCAACATTACTATGCAATGCCAGCTGGTGACACGTTGCTATAGTAACTTCAAATAATGTGCACGACCAAAATAAAATAAAATATAGAAAGTGCCAAGGAGAGGAGACGGAGGAAAGTTTGCAGGCCGAGGGAGGCTCCTAGGGAGATGGAAAGTTCTTCCCAGGGGCTACGCTTTGGACACTAGAGGTGGACAACACGTCCCTCTCAGGTTGCTTCTCTGCTCACCCCTTGCCTGCCATGTGGTTATGTAACGGGTTTTATTCTTGGATAAAGCTAGTGCTGTCTGTGTGGTGATCTGGGACTGGAGGTGGGAGGGACGGTGCCAGGAGAAACAAGGACTCTAAAACCCATTCATCTTAGAACTTCGTCAGGCTGCTCGAGTTGTAATTTGGAGTACTCTTCAGGGCAGCCAAGGTGCACGTTCTCTCCTAGCAACCACCAAGTTCCAGACACCATGCTAGGTACCAAGGGAGCAGCCGTGAGCAAGACAAAGGGCTCCTATCTGGTTCTGCCAGGATGTAGTGTCCAGAGTGAGCCCTGGGAAACAATCGGAGTTCAGACCTCAGCTGACCTCTCTCTGGTCGTGTGACCTTGAGCAGGATCTTGAACCTCAACTGCCTCATTCGTTGAGGAGGAGAAAAACATTTCTTACTTCACATGGAATAAAGGGTTAAAATGAATTCCTGTCAAGAACTGAGAATGCAGAAAGCCCCCAATAACTATTAGCTAGTTTTATTATTGTCTTGTTGCCGACGGTGGTCCAGAAAAATTAGGCAGCTTAGCTAATTAAAATTCCTAACCCCAATGGAGGAAATGATGACTCCGTCTACCCATGGCTACCTGTGGACACATCAAGTGCTTGCAGACGCAGCTCGAGGGCCATGTGCCCTTCAGCTGGGAACAAGCCTCGGGTTGCAACATGCCTCGAGTCCAGCTGTTCAGTAAATCGAGTGTGTGCCTCTCGGAGCAGAGCATGCTGGGAGAGTTCTTTTATTTGGGGACAGCGCTGGCAGGTAGGAAAAGTGACAACAGTGTCCAAATTGTTCAAAGGCAGGAAATACAACTGTCTTTATTGAAAACTCAAGTCTCCCAGCTGTTTGACCGTAGGAGGTGGCTGTCACTGTGCCGTGACGTTCTTCAGCTACCCCGGGGACCCTGCTGTGTGACAGAGTAAACCAAGTTACCTTTCTGCTTGGGGATGTGGTTTGTTGGGAACAGAGTCAGGGGTTTTGTGTGATTTGCTCCATGTTAAAGGGGCAACATCACAGGAAAGCGGAAAGGTGCTTCCTGGATGCTGTGTCCTCTGGATGTCCCCTGACATGTCCTGTCTATGCACACAGTGCACCAGGAGGGTCGGCTGCAAGCACCCTGGCCTGACACGGTAGACATTAGAGATGGGTCAGCTCTCCAGGCTGCAAGCACAGTGTCCCCTCAGAGAGCCATCCTGGCTGACCAGGGGCAGGAGGAAGGCCTGGCGAGGCTCATGGGAACCAAGGCTAGGCGAGGAGCTGCATCCCCTCAGACGCTTCCTTTGAAGCCCACACCTCTGGCCCTGGCTGGAGCCTGTGCTGTGGCTCTGCAGTGTTAGAGCGCTTTAAATCTTCCCAGGGACACAACGGGGTGTTCAATCCTGGGGGAGAAGGTGGAAGGAAAGCAAGTCCCATTCCGCCTTCCTGGTGCCCAGGTCTCTCCCTTCATCTTCTCATGACTCCTCTTGGCAATGCCACGGGGTCAGCTTTCCACCCATTTACAGAGGAAGAAAGTGAGATGCAAGGAGGCCAAGCAGGCATGCCAGTGTCTTCCCGGACAGGCATTTAGGAGGTGGCAGGGCAGGAACTGAGAGCCGGTCCTTCTCCCTCTGACACTGAGTTATTGTCTGGCCCCTGTCGGCACCGGAAAGAGACCTAGATGTTCTTCACTGCTGTATCTCTAGATCTAGAATCAAACTTGTACATTGCAGGGGCTCAACAGACATTAGATGAGAAACTGAATTTACTGTAGTATCTCCTATTCTACAAGAGTGTCTCCTCCAGAAACTCTGAAAAGCCTGGGGTCATACTTTGACCACCTTTACTCCATTAAAGGCCAGAAACCCAAGAAGTTTTTGCTCTAATTCTGGCCTTCTGGTTCCTTAACTAGGGCTGGCTTCTTAAACCATGTCCCTTCAAGCTAGAACGACATCACTCTCTCACACATTACTTCATCCAACAAGTATTTCTTGAGTACCTACTATGTGCTGGGCATGGTTCTGGTGGTGGGTACTCATCTATGAACAAGGTTCACAACAGATTTGCTCTTGAGGACCAAAGTGATTCATGCGACTAGTCAAGTTTTATAGAGCGATGGAAAGATGGAAGGGCACTATTTTCAACAGAGTAGACAGCAGCCTCTTTGTACACTGACGTTTGAGTTGAAAACTTGACTGCTGAGAATGGCTGACGCAAACATCTGGAATGGCATCCTGGTCCAGTGAAGAGCAGGTGCAAAGACCCTGAAGTGGGGACGTATGGGGCTGCCTGCAGAGCCTGGAGAGGACTGAGGGGGTGGTGAAGTATGTGAGGAGTCAGAGAGAGGAAGGAACAGGCAGGAACTGGGATCCTTGGGTCCTCGGGGATCAGGGTGAGAGTCTGGATTTTGTTCTAAGTGCAAAGGGAAGCCCTCCCTTGGGCTTTAGGAAGCGTGCTCTGGTGCAACGTGCTACCAGGTTGACTCTAAAGAAGCAGTTTCAGTGCCTTAGCCACAAGTCCATCTCCACGGCCCTGTTGGAGTTGTTCCCAGGGTTGTGGGTCTATGGAATGTGCAAACTCTATTCTTAGTGTTGACACTTCTTCATTCCTGTGGTGCCTTGCTCCTAGCCAGCACTTCTCATGAAATGATAATTTTGTAGGAGAATCTGGC